TACTGGATCATTATGGAGGATAATGATTCTGGAAATGATATATAAAAAGATGCCAGATCTACGCGCACAACGAGTTGTCGTCAATGTGTTAAATATGTATCAAATTTTGCAACTAGCTGAATGCGAATACATCTTTAGGCGTCTGCCTTGGCATGTTTGCGTGTACCGGAAGTCAATAGTTTCTGGATGGATTCGTTTTCATCCGTCAAAACAACACAGTGGATGTGAGCGTAGCTGTCAGCACTCCGTCTGGACTGATCACTCCAATTGTCTTTAACGCACATGCGAAGGTGAATTTTGTGGTTTAAAAAGTTTTTTTTATTAAGGGTCAACATACCTTCCATTCAGGGTCCTTGCTACGATATCGGCTGAGGTTACGGAATTGGCTGCTCGGGCCAGAGATGGTAAATTGCAACCGAATGAGTTCCAGGTCAGTATTATTGTCTTTCATGATTTGCGAAGCATTATCAAGTATGTACGTTTAGGGTGGTACTTTCACGGTGTCCAATCTTGGCATGTTCGGGAGTGTCACCGATTTCACGGCTATTATGCAACCACGCAGTATGTATTCTTGCTATCGGTGGTGCCGAGACGAAGCTGGTTCCATGCGAAGACGAAGGGTAGGTTCGATTTAACCTTCGAGCTCCAATAAAGGCAGCGATTACCATAGGTTATAGAAGGAATCAGAGGAGACGTGATGGCGCTCAATGGTAGTAGTGGCAAAAAAAAGTCGAGAAGTCCGCCAAAAGTGCAAAACGGCACCTCCTTCTTTCGCCGTTGGTTTTACCTAATGAACTGATAACAGCGCAGAACGAGGACGTATGACCGAGTTTACCGCAGCGCGTTGTGGTTGGCACCATTTGCCAACACGCTCCATAGATTGCTTCAGTTTGCCGCTATTTTTGGCAAACGCAGCTCTTCCAAATCACCAACTAAACTAGTGGGCGGATCGCTTTTGGGGTGGAGTGCTTTCGAAAGTCTGCTCAGCAACCAGCGCACCTTTCGTCGTGAAAGCGCTACATCGCTTCCTTGGCAGCCAAGTAACTGCTTCGTGTGGTGCATATGCTTTCCCGATGCGCTCCCGCTTCATGTGTAATTGGCTTACTTTAAATAATATTATCCACACATTTATTTATTTATTTATTATTACGCTCAGTAAAGTATACTGGGCGCGCCAAAATCGGTTTATCCACACTGCTTACTCGAGATAGTCGCTTTCAGGTACCGAAGTACGAAAGTCATGAAGGTTACTTTGTCATGTGACCACCGCGTTGTAGACGGAGCGGTTGGAGCTGTTTGGCTGCGTCATTTCAAAGAGTTCCTGGAGAAGCCACACACTATGCTTCTTTGATTAAGTAGTCATTTAGTGATTAGATGATAGTTTCTCTTCCTTTAAGTTTATTAGAAGGATCCTACTACACACCATTTTCGTATGTGTCGGTTTTTCGTTTTGGGTAGTTCAGTGCGAGTGTCCAGATATTTATGTAGCACATTTTATAAGGTCATGGATGTCGTGATTTTCCAATGCTCTTTTGTGCTATCTGTCACCGACTTTTTGGGGCCGAGCCAAAGGCATCTTAGTTAGAGAAGGAAAAGGCAAAATTAGTAGCGTTATTTTTGTTGCCACTTTAGGTAAGGGAAAACTTTTTGTGTATGAGTGGCATGTTTCCCTGTCACTGAATTCAGAACTGGTTGTGTCGAAGCTATTGAGCTCCGGATAAAGATTAAATTGCGCTATTTTGCCTGCAAAATTGTTATTTGAAGTATTACATTTATTTCGAAGAACTCGTCTATGACGCTTCTATGTCGGCATTCCTACGGTCCTTCCAGAGCTTGATTTCATCACTTTCGGGTTTTCAATAACTCGTGGATTTAGCATCGGTTCCGCTCCGTTCCACCTTAGCATTATTCTTTTGATCGAATTTTTCAAATTTTCTGGAAAATTTCACTGCTCCTCCATCTGTTTGTTGCTGAAGGTCCGCTTTTGATGCACTTGCTTTAGTACATTATCTAGGCCGGATAAGCACTAATGAGTAGCGGGAAGTCCAACATCCCGATTAATCGATGGGTAGTGGGAGGACTTTCGTGTGCATGTCTGTGTGAGGTGATAGTTTAGTTTCAGAATATCAGTTGTTGTTTATGCTCTATTAAAATGTTTTGTACACTGTTGTGGTGTTTTATGTGCTAAACCTATAGGCTTTCTTTTCTTCGACACCCAGTAGTGACTGCAAAAATAAAAATTGCCAAGTGAGTTTTGGCCTACACTATTATCTTCATAACTAAACTTCTGCCTTAGAGTAAAAAAAACAGAAGTGAAGAAGTCCAGATTGTGGCGTGAGCATAAATGGAGTTTGCGGGTTTGTACTCCTCGTTACTTTATCCTTAGCATTAGAAAGCACATTTTTGGGCACTAACAGTTAACATCGAGGGAGTAGTGAAGAAGACGAAGAACATCCGGCTCCGTGCCCACCTCTTCGATTCCGCTGTCCTTCCTGCCCTAACCTACGCCTCAGAGACTTGGACTCTGCGCAGGCAGGACGAGCATGCGGTCAGCGTTATCCAACGCGCTGTCGAGAGGACGATGCTAGGAGTAACCCTACACACACGCAAGTGCAGAGGGGAATCCGGAGTTCCGAACTACGCCAACGATCGAAGATCAGGGACGCTGCCGTTTTCGCCAAGGAATCGAAGATAAGGTGGGCCGGACACGTCATGCGATTTTGCGATGACCGTTGGACCAGAGCGGTTACCGACTGGATCCCTCGGGACGTCAAACGAACACCTGGACGACCGCCGGCCCGATGGTCAGACTTCTTCACGAAAGCTCTGAACGAAAGGAATGAAGGACTTCGTGTCCCTCGAGCGAGGAGGATCCACTGGACACTCTAGCACGCGACAGGGACGAATGGAGACGTTGCTGGCGCCCGCTCGAGCAAATTCGATGATCAACGGGACGACAGGTGATACAGGTGATAC